CGCCTTGCTGGAGAACTGAGACCTAAGTTGGTTGGCTTTCTTTCTGTTCCTTCAGTCTGGTCTTTCCTGTCAAAGCGAGTTCTCATGTTGATCTCTGAGGCTTGGTGACAGCAGACAGGGAGGCAGGGATGATGACTCTCCTTTGCAACAACAATCAGAGCATGGTATCTGCTGGACGCTGTCCTCAGGGTGGACTCCAAGTTCAAAAGAGACAGGCGGGAGGGAGAGAGTTCCTTTTTGGCCCTGGGGCACAATCAGTGCCTGATCAGGATCCTGGAGTTTAAGTATCCGTGTTGTTATCTTAGCTTGCATAGCTGTAGCCTGGCTTATTATTATAAAAGTATCCGGTCCTGTCACGTCCAGCCACATCCCTCAGCTCATTGGCCTCTTGGCAGTGATTAATGGGGAAGGGTGGAAGCAGGGAAATCCTTACAACCTGCCAACTTGGCTTTGAACCTACAAGAACATTCTGGCTGGAGAATACATGTCCCCACACCCTTGACACCCTCTCTCCCTTGTTGTAACACGTTCTGTTCTGTACTCATGTTAGCTAAGTGAACGCTGACCCTGGATTTGCTGTGTGCAGCCCTGGGAGGGGTCTGTTTGACTTATACCTCCTATTTTGAGCTTCTAACCATGAAATAAATGCTTCTGAAACTGACCTTTGCTCTGTAATTTGGGGAGAGTTCCTTTCATTGTTCTTAAAGACTAAGGCATGATTGTCTCATCTTTCCTCTTCTTGTTAAGTGCCATCGAGTCAGTTTCAACTCATAGCAACCCTGTTTGAACTGCCCACCTTGTGGTTTGCAGTCCAGTGCTGATCCTATAGCTCTACACCAGAAGTCCGTATGTTTTTCTTAGACCATTGAAAAAGAGATAACATGGGGCCTTTTGAAGTAAGACCCCAACATACAAAAGATGTTTGTTTTCAAAACAAATTTGAAAGCCTGGCATCAAATTTTTACTCAGCCTCCTCCTGAGATTTTGCATTTCCAGCTAGACTGAAATTAGCTAACTTACATCTTAACAACATCCCCAAGGGAGACTTATGTATTTATCTGATAAGGGCTCTGTAAGAAGATCCTGGGTGGAGTTTCAAAAAAAATGCAGATTCTGAGAACATGCAAATTCTCAGCAGGGGTCAAACTTTATGAGTGGGTTCAATGGTCTGCTTGAAAGAGACTCACAACACCATTTGAAAGATCTGAAGCACCATTGTGGGGCTGTGGGTTAAAGCACCAGACTGCAAAGTTGTTTGGACTGCAAGATTGGCAGTTCAAGCTCATCAGTTGCTCCTCTGAAACCCAATACAGGGTCGCTATGGGTCGGAACCGATTCTATGGCACTTCACAACAACAACAACAAACACCATTTTGTGGCTCTGTGGGCTAATGCTTCAGACTGCAAAGTTGTTTGAACTGCAAGGTCAGTGGTTCAAGCTCACCAGCTGCTTCTTGGAAACCCC